TCCACCGCCCGGCCCCTCACCGCCGTGTGTAAGGTCAAAGGCTGTTGAGTCACCGTGGGTGCTGTTCTATATACAGCGAGGTTTGCTAGAGCGTGTTTATGTTAAACTTGAAGACTTGAGGTGGATCTTCAGATCCTGGAGGTGACCAAGCGAGAGGAGGTGACTGGGGAAGCCTGCCCTGCAGAGCCAGTGCTGCTCCGGGCAGTGTCACAGAGACGATCGAGATGTGTCCAAAAGATTTGGGTGTCTTCCATCCACCACCCGTAGGCTGTTCTCAGCTGTTAGCTTGGGACTTCTTCCTCAGACTTTGGGGAAATGTTTAGTGTGCAGAACTGGCTCAGATCCGCTCCCGAGCCTGCACCAGGAAGCCCCTTGGGATTACGTGTTTTCCCTGGTGGGATGTTGGAGCCCGACGGGGAGTTCCCCTGGGCCTGCGTGGGCGCTGCTGGCTCTGCAGCCCCAGCCTTGTTCTGCCCCGCGACCGTTCTCTGTTGCCCCCGCAGCTGGAGAGCCCCTCGGTACATCCTGGGCATGTCGGAGGCGCGGCACGACCGCGTGCGCAAGAAGTACCACATCCTGGTGGAGGGGGAAAGCATTCCGCCCCCCATCAAGAGCTTCAAGGAGATGAAGTTCCCCGCAGGTGGGCCGGGAGGGGAGCCTGGTGGGGCGGGGGGCGGCGTTCTCCGGGGAAATGCGAAGCTGTTGGATCTTCAGTGCTTGGTGTTAGTGGGGTCATGGCTGGATTCCCAACAGCGGCGGTGTCAGCTTGCTGCTGCCCGAGGGGTGTTTTGTCACTGGGGGAAGAGCTGCTGCTGGGATGCAAGTAGGAAGAGAAGGGGGAAGGCTTCAGGTCATGAATGTGAGTGTCCCTTGTTCCCGGACAGCCATCCTGAGGGGCCTGAAAAAGAAGGGAATCCAGCAGCCCACTCCCATACAGATCCAAGGCATCCCCACGATGTGAGTGCTCTGTCCCTGTCCCAGATCGGGGGGCGGTCGCTCCCTGCAGCCCGCCCAGCGGCGTGAACCGGGCTCCCTTCCCTGGTGGCAGATGTGCCCCGTCACCTTGCTCAGCCATGGAGGTCTGAGCCGTTCTGTGACGCTTCTCCTCACCATCGGCCCCGTTTCTCTGCCAGCCTCTCGGGAAGAGACATGATTGGCATTGCCTTCACTGGCTCTGGCAAGACCTTGGTGTTCACCCTTCCCGTGATCATGTTCTGCCTGGAGCAGGAGAAGAGGCTGCCGTTCTCCAAGCGAGAGGGGCCCTACGGACTCATCATCTGTCCCTCGGTGAGTGTCGGGGGCGCAGTGACGTGCGGGAGGAAGCTTTGGTTGATATTCGGTGGTGATCCCAGCTCCTCCCTGCGTGGAGGTGTAGGAACGAGTAAGTTTTGTCTCTGCAGCGGGAGCTGGCCCGGCAGACCCACGGCATCATCGAGTACTACTGTCGCCTGCTGCAGGAGGACGGCCTGCCCCCGCTGCGCTGTGCCCTCTGCATCGGGGGCATGTCTGTCAAGGAGCAGATGGAGACAATTAAACAGTAAGACCTTCTGGGGGGTGGTTGTGGGGGGGTTGTGGGGCTGGAGCTGTGCTCAGTTTTCTGGCAGGGGGGCTAAGGAGTGGCACCTTCAGGAAGGGCTGGGGGCAAAGGCGATGTGTCAAGTGGGTGTTACCTTCCCTGTGTGTTGCTGCATAGGGCAGGATTCCCGAGTACCTGACCGTGGCCTTCTCTTGTCCCACAGTGGTGTACACATGATGGTGGCAACCCCTGGCCGCCTGATGGACCTGCTGCAGAAGAAGATGGTGAGCCTGGACATCTGCCGTTACCTGGCCTTGGATGAGGCTGACAGGATGATCGATATGGGCTTTGAGGGGGACATCCGTACCATCTTCTCCTACTTCAAGGTACTGAGCTGGCACAATATGAGGCACCCTGAAGCTCAATCCCTGCGCCCACCTGGTTGGGTGAGTGCTAAATCCCTGCCCGTGCTGTGTTCCCTGTGCAGGGCCAGCGGCAAACCCTCCTCTTCAGTGCCACAATGCCCAAGAAGATCCAGAACTTTGCCAAGAGTGCCCTGGTGAAGCCCATCACCATTAACGTTGGGCGAGCGGGTGCTGCCAGCCTGGATGTTGTGCAGGTGAGGTAGCTGGGAGCTCCCCCACGCCTGCGTGGTGAACCAGCACCATTCGTGAGGGCACTTGATGCATCCCTTGTCAGGGAGCTGGGGTCCGTGACCCTCCTCCCCAAGAGGTTAAGGGATACCAAGCCACGGCAATTTCTCTGCTGCCTGCCTGACTCACCTCTGTGCTTGTTCCTAGGAAGTGGAGTACGTGAAAGAGGAGGCCAAGATGGTGTACCTCCTTGAGTGCCTGCAGAAGACCCCACCACCTGTGAGTAGTACACTCTGGCAGCATGGCTGGGGGCGGTGTGGGCACACGCTGCAGCCCCGGGACACGGGTGGAGCTGGCAGTGGGGACACAGCCGTGATGCTACAGGGCTCTGCCGTGTGTGGGGTGGGCGTGTGAGTGAGCTGTGCTCCACGGACGAGCAGGTCCTGGGCCCAGAGCTGTGATCTACTCAGCATGAGGGGATGGGTTCCCCGGGGGGTTGTGCTGGTGCCAGCAGTACCGGCTTGCAGAAAGGTGGCTCTTCCCTGATGTCTGTGCTGCTGCAGGTGCTGATCTTCGCAGAGAAGAAGGCGGATGTCGATGCAATCCACGAGTACCTGCTGCTCAAGGGAGTGGAAGCTGTGGCCATCCACGGAGGGAAAGGTCAGTGAGGGTCTGAGCTCCGGTGAGGCCCTGTCTGACCCCTGCTCCTGCCAGGGTGTGCATGGCCATGGGAGGTCCCAGCGTGCAGCGGTTTGTGATGGTGTGAGCAAGGGCTGTGGCAGTGTCAGGAGTCAGGGCTGTGTAAGCCCTTTTGCTGGGGAAGCCGGGGTTGCATGATGCTTGGCTCTGAGGCCGTAGTGGTTGCTGCGAGAAGTGGGACTGGGAGCTCTGCCCTTGCTGATCTTCTCTGCTGGGCCTTTGCAGATCAGGAGGAACGGACAAAAGCCATCGAGGCCTTCCGGGATGGGAAGAAGGATGTCCTGGTTGCCACTGACGTCGCTTCCAAGGGCTTGGACTTCCCAGCCATCCAGCATGTCATCAACTATGACATGCCAGAGGAGATTGAGAACTATGGTGGGGACTGGGCCCCAGGGGGGTACCACCAAGGGTGTGGTGGGGTGGGTGCAGAGGACAGAAAGGGTCTGTGCTTGTCTCTGCAGTGCCGGGGGGCAGGGATGGTCTGTCACATGGCATCCACCCAGGCCTGATCCTGTCTCTTTCTCCGCAGTTCACCGTATCGGGCGTACAGGCCGTTCGGGCAACACCGGCATTGCCACCACCTTCATCAACAAGGCCTGCGGTGAGGAACGGTGCGGGGCTGGGGGCTGCCTGCAGCGGGGCCGTGTTGTGGGAGGCAGCTGGGCGATGGAGGGGTGATCCTGAGCAAGCAGGGACAAGTCATGATGGCCCGTGGAGGGGAGACGGTGGCGTGGGGCAGTGCCCCCCACCGCTGCTCGGGCTGTGTCTGAGCCGTGTCTCTGCCCCCAGATGAGTCGGTTCTGATGGACCTGAAGGCCCTGCTCCTGGAGGCGAAGCAGAAGGTGCCGCCTGTGCTCCAGGTGCTGCACTGTGGGGACGAGACCATGCTGGACATCGGAGGTGAGAGACCCCAGGCTGGCACAGGGACCTCCCGCAGGGCTGCTGAGGGGCCTGGGCCGTGGACGGCGCGGTTCCTGCCTGCCTTGGGGCTGTCGTTGCCTTGTCATGCAGGCAGCCTGGTGCTGTGGCGGCAGGGGGAGATGGTGGCGTAGCCCCTCTGCTTCTGGGGTAGGGGTGAGGGGCTGCTCTCCCAGCACAGCTCCCCCTGACCTCATCCTTCCCGTTGCAGACGAGCGGGGCTGTGCCTTCTGCGGCGGCCTGGGCCATCGCATCACTGACTGCCCCAAGCTGGAGGCGATGCAGACCAAGCAAGTCAGCAACATCGGCCGCAAGGACTACCTGGCCCACAGCTCGATGGACTTCTAGCCCGAGGGATGTGCTGCTCCCCCTGCACGGGCCTTGGTTCCCTTTCAGCCGGGGCACCGCCCCAGCTCCCCTCGCCTTCCCCAAGCACTGGGGCCCGTGCTGCACGGCTGTAGCCCCTTTTCCAGGCATTTGGCCACCGTGGCTGTTGCCAGCTCAGCACAATGAAGCTCCTGCCCTGGGAGGAAATGTGTGGAGCTGTGCTGCAACAGCCCGTTAACGTCAGCGGTGCGTTGGGCAAGCAGGTAGTGGTGCCCGGGGAGAGGAGGAAGCCCAGGTGGGGTAACGGGTCTGGGGCCTGCTGCCCCTGCCAGCCCCCTGCAGTGGCATGGCCAGGGCCTTGTGTCCCTCCTCTCCAACACCCCTCAATTCCTCCAGGACTGTCCCCGTTACCTGGTTTTGTGCATCCTCAGCTGGTGGCTGTTCCCATATCCCCCAAACGTGCTCGGATGCAGCCGGGGCGAGGCGGAGCGTGCCGCACTGGCGTCGGGCGCTCCCCGTGGTGCTTCCTGTGCTCTGCCTGCCCGCGTTCTGCCCCACTGCCCTCCTGCGAGGGGGAGGGCGGACAAACGGACACCTCCTGTGGCCCAGCCTCTGCCCCTCATCCCACACATCAGAAAGGGGAAGTCGCTGAGAGAAGGAAGTCTGCCCCATGCAGTTGCTTCAGCTGCAGCAGTCACATTTTCTCCGCTGCTGGTAGCTAGTGCCCGGCCCTTGCGCTGACTGCCAGAGCGGTGTTGGGCCCATGGAGAGACCGGTGAAGGATGGGATCCTGTATGTGCAGCACTCCAAATTTGGAAAGGTAAAGGGTGGATTTGGGGCTGGGTACAGGGTTTGCCCTGGTCTGTCTTGATGCCAGGCCTGGGGCCAGGCCCTTGGCAACCGGGGAAGTGGGGACTGGAGCCAGACCCCCTCTGAGTTGCCCCAGGGTGGCCCTGGGCTCCGCAGCCCCAGGAGCAGGGCTCTCCCTGCGGCCGAGGGGACTCATCCATGCAGGCACCTGCTCAGGCTCACCCCTGCTCACGGGGTCCCTCTTCTCACTTGGTCACCACGCAATGCGCAGTGAAACAATAAACGCGTGTTAACGAGGCACAGCTCCAGCGTGTGTGTGGGAGCGGGGCACCGGGGCAGCGCGTGGGACACGGCTCTGTGCCCAGCCCTCCTCCAGACTGGTCCGGGGGGGCCAGCGCCATCCGTGGGACATCTCTTGCAGCTTGTCCTGCTGCCCTGGGCCCTCGGGGTGGACACCGAGTGCCACAGCTCTCTGAGCACGGTATGGGTGACATGTGGGAGCCCCTATAGGTTTGAGCCAGTTCTAGGGAGCTGGAGAGGGGTGTTGGTGAAGCAGATCCTGCCGGCACACTGGATGTGCCTTAGTGGCATCCCCTCTGGCACAGGGGGGAGGCTGTGCCCCCACCTGGGTTCAGTAGATGTGCTGGGCTTTGATCATGCCCTGACCTCCCTGCCCAGCGAGACCCAAGCCCTGGAGCCGAAGCGGGCAGGCCTTGTGCGCGTGGGGCCGGTGCCCTGTGCGTAGGAGGCAGGCGGGCTGGCGACGGTGGGTATTTTGGGTGTTCGGCTGCATCTGGTTCCTGCAGGGTGGAGGCTCTGCTGTGCTTTTGAGGTGCTTGGGGGCACGCGCCTCTCTATCCCATGATGGGCTGGGAAGGTGCCGGTGCCGCAGAGCCTCCCCTGGGAGGAAGCGGGCTGTGAGCTGCAGGGCCTGGCCGTGCTCAGCAGATGTGAGGCTGCCAGCAGGAGCCCCAGCAGCTCAAAACGGCTTTAATTTGCATCAGGGTCTGTCCTGAGAACAGCTCGAGAGCTCAGCTGCAGCAGCAGCAGGCTGGCGCTTGCAGCGTGGAACAAAGAGCAGGACCTGGTGCTCTGCGAGCTGGGAGCAGGCGTGACTCACCCCGCAAGCCATGCCAAGCTCGCTCTGGGCAAGGCCCCCTCCTCGACCCAGCTTTGGGACTGCCCTGCCCCACAGCCCCAGGGGTCTCCCCTGGCCCTGGCTCTCTGTGCCCTCTTGCAGCACCCAGCAAGTGCAGGCTTGGGACTCCCTGTGCCCCCTTCCTGCCCCATATGGCTCTTCCTGAGCACTGCTGGTCCTAGATGGAGGGCAGCGTTGCGAGGATGCAGCAGGCAGCTCTTTGCTGACTGTTTTTTTCCCCTGCCTGTGCCCTTCCCGTGCCCCAGAGGTCCTGGAGGAAGATGCGAGCCCAGCTCTTCGCCGCCAGCCCCTCTGGTGTGGCCCGCATGGAGAAGTTCGACGTGCGGGACGATGGCATGGCGCTGGAGAAGAGCTCCCTGCGGCGGTGTGCCCGCCGGGTGATCCGCCTCTCGGACTGCGTCTCTGTGGGCCCAGCAGACCCCGAG